ATCGTGGTATTCGGACCAACTTTCACGCGCCATGACTAATTCCACATGATACCTACCACCGCCCCAACTTAGACTTTACCACACTACCTATTTTTATGACCGTGGCATTCGAACCAACTTTTGCGCACATCGACTAATTCCACGAGATACCTGTCACCAACCCAACTTAGACCTTACCACATTTCATCCTTTTCTTTTGTGACCGTGGTGTCTAGGCCAACTTTTTGTGCCACCTGCCACCAGGAACAAGTGTCAGCTAACTCTGTCCACCAAGGGTAGGAAAATTGGGAAAAAATCGGCTAGTGCTTTAGTCTCCGCTGAGTTTTGAACCAGAGAACTCAGATTTCTCAACCACTTTGATTGACCACTAGTTCCTAACCACACAACCTTTGTGAGGTAGAGAACACGATTATTAGAAAACAAGACAGCAAAAACTTAGATTTAAAGCAAATGAAGCAACAGATAGTAACAAACACATACAAAAATTATCAAAAATATATCACTAAATTTACAACTAATTAATGCTCAAACCTCAATCCTAAACTCGTTCTGTTTCACTCCAACATAATATAAGAAAATTAAAATAACATTTATCATCAAAATGAAAACATGCAAAAAAAATAAAAAATTAAAATTGTTACCTCGTCGGCATCCATTGCTGTTTCCTTGAACTAAGCACAAAGCTGTCGTTTGAGGTTTTCCAGACCAAAATGTGAAGAGCAAAATTTGCGAAGGTGGTTTTTTTTTTGCTTAATAAGAAAACAGGAGGAAATTGTTTCGCTTTAGTAAATTACTCAAATGCCCCTGAAAACGAATTAAAGTACATTATTGTCACTGGTACTGTCAGTTCATGAGGAAAAAATGGAGGGAAAAGAGGATCTTGAGCGGCAACGGCCTAAAAAGACTTGTTTCTTTATAAAATTAAACTAGGTAAATTACTATTGAACTCAGAAGCGGAGCAAGAATTTTTGACAAGAGGTTCAAAATCGGAAGAAATACACACATGAAGTAGTTGAAGGAGATTCGACATCTAACATATATGCTTAAAAAATTATTTTAATCATATAAAAATAATATAATTTTTCGTCGAAAGAGGTTCATCATATAGTGGCTCCGCAGCTGATTGAACTATTTTGTTAAACTTATATATGGTCATTCGATAATATTCATATTTTAATATATATACTACATTGTCAAGAACATTTTATTCTAAGGCAAAGCATTTTTTCGAAAACTTAAATTGTTATATTTTTTAATAGAAAAATTACGAGTCATGGAGAGATTTTAAGTTTAAGAAAATCTCCATAGAAATAGTTGGTTAGAAGTAATAAAATTTGAAATTTTTGACCAAACTAAGTCATTATTTAAACTAATTCCCCCAAACCTAACAATCTTTGAAAAATATTTTGTCAATCTCCTATGGTCCTTATCGACTCATCACCAAGTACTGGATCACCATTCACAGGTAAGTCATACAACACTTTTACATCTTGCAGGTGATTCTCGCCTCATCGGTCCTAAAGTGAAAGTATGAGTTTCGGGACGCCATCTCTCTACTAGTGAAATGATCAAGCTACGATCAATAGAAGGTCGATTTGATCTATAAACACCATATAATCCTGATAATTCAATCATTTCTATGACTCGTGGATGAATGTGATATTTCTTTACGAGGTCCCAAAATTTTCCATCACAACTCCTCGTATTTAAATCATACTAACACTTTCATTCAATATATCCCGTGAACTATGAGTAAGTTGTTGAGTTAATACCATGGTTCAAGTAGATCGGGATCGAACTGGTATGCACTATAACCAGTCATATATACATATCTATTAAACTGAACATCCCATATTAAAGTAAATTAAATATTAGTGTTAGTCCAAAATATAACAAGCAAATCAAAATAATATACTGTCACCTAATGTTTCATTAAAAAATTGAAAAAGAACTCAATTTTAGTAGAGGCGCATTGCAGGTCAACCTGTTATAGTCTTCCCTTCCATTTTCATATGAACATTTTTTTTCATTGTTTCTCTTTGCATCAACAAGATGCATGAATTCAAAATAAAAATAAAACATATATATTAGAATTTCTTGAGTGATTATTCTATATAACCAAAACGATATAAATACGAGAAGATTGAAATTCTAAAATTCAAGCATTCCTTCTACTAACTTGTAAGGAAAAAAAAAACATACCTCAAGGCTCTAACACAGAAAAATTAACTCGATTCCAAGCTTTTCCGAAGATTTATAGCTTCAATTTATCGCGAAACTCGATATAACAAGAAATCCCCAAATTTGATTTGGAAATATTAAAGCTACAGTTTATCTATGAAATGAGGTTTTGACTCATTGATTGCCTTTCTGTGTTTTTGTTCTTTCACGCCTCCTCTTCGTCCACAAATTATCGGTTGGGAATGGAGTTAATGGAGCTGAGAATATTTTCAATCGGTGCTGCAAAACTGTTTTTATAGAGAAAGGGTTGAAAGAGTTTAGCAGCCAAAGGTAATGGAACATTAAAGTTAATAAAACAAAAACGATGTCGTTGGGTTAAGAGATGTGGGCCCCTGTCACATTTTAACCTAAAATCGTTAACCTAACGGCGTTAATTTTTTTAAAATCAAATAAAACCTACAATGTTAACATGAAGTACGTTTATTCTACTTTTGTAAGAAAAAAAATTAAAATGTATTAGTTAGGTGAATTGATTTTTAAAATAGCTTATTTTGGTAAAAAGATCTAAAATTTGCTAAAGAACAACATCAAACGTCAAAGAACAGGCCAAAAAGTCTTGAACGACAACACTCCCAAGTAAAATGGAACATCACGTCTATACAGGAGCATAATTAATTAAACTCAAATGGAAGACTTCACCTTCTTTCTTATGAACCTCCATCAATGTATTTTTATTATAGTATGACGTATCATGCATATGTTAAAAATGACCCTAAAATTCTTAGTATCATTAATATATTTCCTCATTGTCTCATAGTAATCATTACAATTGCTTATATTTCATATCACTGGCCCAACTTATTTGAATTGAACCATAATTATTTGTATGGTTACAGTATGCAATTACAAAGAAATAATGCAATTATCAACCAAGCAATAGGTGACATCATAATGGAGCTATTCACAATTGGATATTCTAAACCACAATTTTGTCACATAACATATGAAAATCTCACAGCTAATTTTGTGAGTGGTTAAACTCACAAATATCCACAAATAATATAAAAAAAACTTACTTTCCTACCAATCAAAAAGAAAACGGCGTGTTGCTAAACATATTTTTCAAAAACATCTACCAGATAGTATCCAAATTTATAGTTCACAAATTTAATTAAAATAATCCAAAAGAAAGATTGTTACTTCTTTATTAAAAAAAAATATTATCAAAATAAAGAGTTATCACTACAATAAAAATGATGTTTAACAAAAATTAATAGCTTAATTGTCGGTAAATATGTATTTTCAGAGCTAATTGGTACTCTCTATAAATGTCCCTAAAGATTATAACAATATTAAATCTAATGACAATTAATTAATGTCGATAAATGCTCTAGCAATTTTTGTTAATGTGTATATTTATTATCGATGAAAATTATTTTTGTTATAATGTATGTTGGACATTTGTTTGTTTCAAGAAAAGTTAATATCTTATTATGCCTAAAAATAAGGGACAAATAAATATGACAGATTACTTAACTTGCGACAAAAAAATGGACTAATTATGTATATACTAATATTCTAGGAAGATTGCAATGACATACCGATATTTTGTACATGAGAAAAAACAATCAAAATAATATACTAACTGTTGCAAGCAAGAGAGCAATCTGTTTGGTTCTTTTAACAAACTTCATCATTGGTTTTATATCAGTTATCACATATTTCTTGTTGTGTGCTATCAAATATACTACACCCACAAACAACTTTCTCAAAAAGTAAATGAAAAAACATCTAGTAAAGGATAAAAGAGAAAGATAAATTTTCAACAATCATCACTGAAAATTTTAGCATAATTAAAAAAGTCACCAAAATAGTAAATTATAAATGCAATAAATACATGAATCACTATGACTTACAGTAAAAGATTAAGTTTCATGAATTATGAGAAAGAAAACTTTGAGAAATAAAACACACTACATAAGAACTTTAATTAATTTATTTGAATTCAACTTTGAGAAATGAAATACACGACATAAGAACTTTAATTAATTTATTTGAATTCGACTCCCCTATGGAGAAAAAAAACTTAGAAATAGTGGTGGCAGAAATAAATTTTTTGTTTACTAAAGAACAAAATGTAGTGAATTCAACCATTTCAACAGCGCTATGAATTCTGGATGATAGATGTAAGAGTAGTAATGTCGCATTGCAATAAAAATCAAATTTATTTGTTTATACGAAGAAACATGTAGGAAGGGATAAAAGAGATGTCAATTTTCATTCATATTTGCAGAAATTTTTAATAGAGTTTTAAAAAAGTCACTAAAATAGCAAAAACTTTCTGTCATAATTACATGAATCGATATGATTTATAGTAAATATTAAGTTCCATGAAATAGGAGGAAGAAAACTTTGAGTAATGAAATAAACTTCATAAAAAGTTTAGTTAATGTATTTGAATTCGACTACCCTACAACGGAAAAACACCTACAAATAATAGTGGCATGAAATCCCTCTATTCATAGACAACAAATGATAGTGTGGACAAATGCTTATTAAACTATCACTTTTTTACGAGTTTCATACCTTAATTATTACTCAATTTTGTGTTAAACACACATTAATGTTTAGTTGATCTAAGTAACACACGGCTATTGTCAATTGGAAACAAAACTTCATGTCAAGGTGCGTACTAATAGTAAAAGTATAGATAGGTAAATAGAACAGCGATCGTTGAATAGTTATGTGTGTTTTTGAACCATTAATTCAACTATTTTACTTCTTTCATAACTGGGTAAAGTAAATAACTTGTTGAAATAGGTAAAAAACATGCTTAAAAAGAAACTTATAATGTATAAAAAGTTAAATAAATTACTTGGTTGGTCTTGGGTTTAGTAGTTGTTTACTTGTTTTGTATCAATCTTGGCCACTTACAATATGAGCAACAAAAGAAAAAAGTGACATTTTCACATCTCTTGTGCGTAAAAATGAAGATCTCTTGAAAAACATTTAAAATTCAGTTTCTCCTATTCAGCTGCACGTTGAGCTAAGAATGAAACGCGAGCCCTTTAATCGCCCAAGCCAGTTGCTACAACACCCATTTCTCTATCACCATTCACCAGCAAGCTTATCAATCTTTCAAAGTTGATAAGGCTGGCTAACTTTGTACAGAAGCTGTCGCAGATCAAACCTTATGTTGTCTTTTTGGGTGAATAACGTAACTCTGCAAGACGAGAAACATTATATGCATTCTCTGATAAACAAATCTTACGTAGAAACCTACATAGTTGACATCAACTTGCTTGGGATTGAGGCGTAAATGATGATGATGATGCTTCTCTAATGAAAGTATGAAACACAGAACAAAAGCATTACACTGTCTAAATCCTCTATACTGGCGCTGACTACTTGGCTTTAAGGTACATGGATATGGGAACGAGTAGGCATTCAGTACGGGTGCTTACTCTCCAGAGTGAGTCGAACCACTTGAGCAAGCCTCCTTTGTCCGTCTATTGATGGAATGGAATAGTACTTAAAGAAGTACTTCACTTTGTCAGCCACCTCTGCACGCGTCAACTTTGTGCCCAATCTGTAACTGCAATATGATTTAGTAAGTTGTCAAGGACTACGAAACCTGTGGAAGAAATGATCCTACGGCAAGTCTGCTTCCAAAGACTTACAGAATGAGAGGACAAACCTTAAACATTGATACGGACAGCAAAAAATCTTCCACAACCTTCCAACACTGAAAGTTCATCATAGGTCATACCCTTATCCATTTCATACAGTTGTTTCACAAATATTGTAATGCAGAATGAGAACTCTCCATAGTGAAGGATACGAAAATGCTAGAAACAGGAAATAATGATCATCCGCAAGACTGGAAAAGGCATTAGAAACCGAAAATAGGCAGGACACTGAATCAATACCTGACTATAATTTGAACGTATAGGTTCCACTTCAGCAGTAGGTAGTGAAGCTACAATCTTTGTCGAGAATGAGTAACAAAGATGAATGGCAAACCATTTCAGAAATGTTCGAAGATCCATCTTACTGATGCTTCTAATTGGATATGTATATCTGCTGAACTACAATCGGACAGCAAATATAGACAGGTATTACCTGAATAAGTGTTAGAAAAAAAAGAGAGAGATGCACTTATATTCTATCTGTTCTGTTTATCCACATGCTCTACAAGCACATAATATAAAAAAAAAATACAAGGAGAGTTCAAGCCAGCTGCAAATAAATTCAAACCATAGTAGCTAGGTGGCCCAAAAATCGTCTGTTGACTGGATTCAACAAAAAAATTCGTCTACCTTTGTTAAGTAACCACATAATCCTTCATCCATCCACATTGGAGCAACTCAAAACTAGATAAAAACCAGGTTTGTTATGAAGCCACGGTAGCAGAGATGCTAACATGAACGCTAAGACCATTCAGACGTGAGCATGAATGTTTTGCTACCCTGAGGGGTTGTTTGGTATCGGGGATGGGATCAAGTGATCCCATGGGATTAGTAATCATAAATGGTGGGATAAATAATCTCGGGACTAACTAATACATGTTCAATGTCTGATCCCCCATCTACCTACAAAGAAATAATCAGGTTGAAATTGCACTGAGAAGCAATTACTTGGTCTTTATTTCAGAAATGGTTCTTCTTAGTCCAACCAACTATTAGTTGGCCAAACAATATGAGGTTAAAGATTTCACTTCCTGTGTAAAGCATATACGGGTAAAATTTATCACATTATGACCTTGTAGTGTGGACTTTCTAGTGAGTGTTTGAAACATAAAACTTGGTGAAGAGACCAAAATTAAAGAGGCCAGGATCTCTGTCATTAGAACAACACCTTTGCCCGATCTTTTGTGGCTTCTGAACTGTCACACACACAAATAAACAACACTGTTTGGCTCAATAATCAATTTAAATAAATCATTTTTCAAACATAAGAGTTCTGATAGAAAACTGTGTCGGTATTTTCCAGAAATGAGAAGAAGCCCTCCGCTGAAGGTGACATCTATGAATCAATAGAAAAGGCATGAATTCTTATAGTAGATCATCTGCTTACTGTTGGAGATGATCATTTCAACCCGCCAATAAAAGTAAAAAACTTGCACAATTTAAACCCTTAAAGTTCAGATCAAAGGTGTCATTAGACTCTACGGGCATATTCACTTCTTAAAATTCTAATGAGTCCTTGATATTAGAGAATGAATGTCACTTAAGAACAAAATCTAAGTAGGGTTGACTCCTAGAATTCTTTGGATGGCGAAAGGCGACAAACAGAGACAAGTGTCTGACTCGCCTCGCCTCTCGCCAAAGGTGCAATGGTGATCGCCTTTGAGAACACCGGTTTAGCAGGCAGTAGACACAATAGGAGATTTCATGATAACCAAATTCTCATGTTTGCAGTGTTCAAATTTTCTACATGTATTAAGATTACTAAAAGGGCTCTCAATTCATGACCAGAAATATGCTGCCCAAAGGTACGGCAAGAAAAAAGCCATTTGCAAATTGAAAATGAGCAAAGCAACTTTAAAGTAGTAAATTATTACTACAATTGATATTAGAGAACACCAATATATCAGAATAGAAAATCTGATAAAGGAGAAAATAATGGCACTCTGCTGCATAAATAGTAAAAACAGTATAAACAATGTGCTCAGCGAATTCTTTGCTTCCCGTTGGAAACTAACCATCTGTGTAATTGCAAATTCAAATGCCACAAGCTTTTACCTGTTCATCGCCATTTGCAATTTCTGCATTGACATCACTGGTGAGTAAACTACAGATAGAAACAAAGCTAAGTGCTGTTGGTTCATGTAGGAAACTACCAAAGGTTCCAGCGACTAGGGAACGTAATCACTGCAATTTCATTCTTCTCAGCAATTACAACGGAACCTATTTACATGACAGCAACGTGATTGTCAAATACTACCAACAAAAACAGGAAAATAGCTAGAACTCAACAATATTGAATGTTTAGAAGGGAAGAGCATCCAACAAACCTTTAGAATTGGTTTGCTTTTTGGTTAGGAAAAAAGTATGATCACCAAAACTATGCACATTTCCCATTAAAATGAAATTTGAAAAATTAGTACATTTTCACACAACTTAATAAAAGTTCATTTTAGAAAACATTGAGTTCACCATTCTAGATTCTATACGTAACTACTTTTCACCAAAGCTTAGTAATACAGAGTGACTTGGGAAAGATAGATTCCTCAAACTACAACTAGATCCAACAAAACCGAATAAAGTGAACACATTTTCGTAGACTGAGTTGGCTAAGTCATCACCATAGTCTAAGCAACTTAACAAAGGAGGGAAAAACTCAAATGGTAATTCTCTACTTCTTTTCTGATGCCAACTTATCTTTTTAAACATCAACTAGTATTTCAATCATGAGAAACCTTGATGATGATATAATTGACTTGTTGTGGCCAAGGCAAAACAAACTGTTATTATTGTTATGCAATCTGTATTTTAAACAATACTAATGATAACAAAAACTTTGCACAAACAGTAAATTTACCAATGTTTAAATCACTCGGTCAATATGTTAAATTATTGAGATTAATCGGATCAATTGGGTGGGTCAAAATTCAACCCGTTTTTAGCCCATTTGAGCTCAAAGTAAATTTGGGCAGGTCAAGACTCAACCAGATTTCTATTCAACCCATTGTAATATTTTCAATTTCAATCCAACCCGCCCATTTGACACCCCTTGATAATTGTATATTATTACATATGTATTTGTATATATGCAAGCGAGATTGGCAGAGGAAGGAGAGAGACGAGAGAGATTTGGAGAGGGAGGAGAGAGACAAGCGAGAGAGAGCAGAGAGTGAGAGAGATGAATCGTATATGTATATCGGTTAATAATTGTATATTATACATATGTATTTGTATATCTGACAAATTATACATATACAAATGCGACTAATTATACAAACTCGGAGTCAACCCATATAATTAATGTATAGTGTTAGCCGCGAGTGGTAACTATAGCAAATTATAACTATCACTAATAATAAAATAGTATAAATTTACTTAACCGCGTAATTTTCTAAATTAAAATCTTTCTAATTATTTTTGTTCTCTATTATTTCTAATTAATAGTATCCCGAGGATTTTTTTTTTGTTTTGTTTTCCAACAAGCTAAAACACCATGTTGATATCTCAAGTAAATCAAAATCATTATTTAATATAGCTATTTGTTTTACTTTTTTCTTTACAAATAAGAAATTGAAAATTTAGTTTATCTTCAATCATGAATCCTTTATTCATTATTCAATTTGGCACGTATTAATTCAATTCAAACATTATATCTCACAATTTCATAATTCAGTTTTACCAAATTAAAAGGAGAACAAATATTATGTCATTGTTTCACATTGCCAAAATAAAAATATTCTTTAGAGAAATGTAATTAACCCCATGTCTATTTCTTGGGGTCAATCATTCATTTTGGAAAAAAATGACATGACTATTAACTAATCATTGATATAATGCAAGTAGCTAGCATCTTTAGAGGTATAAACTTATCATGTAAATCCACTTATATCTGAATGATGGGCAAAATTTGGAGATTTCAAACTATACTACAAAATATTCTGTTGTATACCGCCATTTAATATACCATTATAGGTTAGACAAATTTTATTATATTATGTATAATATATGCTTCCAATTACACACATAATTGTCCATCCAATGTGGGTGGACAGCTTTATAATTGTTAGGTCACATAATCCAACTTGTCTTTCTTAATTACTTTGACTAGCAAGTGAAGTGGTGTTGCACTTTAGTGACATTTATCATTTTATGTCAATTCAAATCGTGGCATACATAATCTTGTATCGTCAATTAAGCTATAGGCCCAAAATCGACGGACAATATCTAGTTTATTTTATGTTTATTCAGAATCAACCTCAAACATTTATGGAAAAATTGTATAAATTGATGCATTTTAATAAATAATTACAGATTTTAGCTATATTTTTTATTTATTGTCATTTATAGCAATACTATGTTAAATCTGCAACATGTATTAAAATTGAATTGTGTATGCAATTTATATGAATTATAGTTGTTTTTTTGAAATATATTATATTTATTTGGTAAAAATTTGACACATTATATTATAAGTGTATTAAAATGTGTGATAAATGTATTAACTATCATTAAAACTTGTTATATGTAAATGATAAATTATTCTTTGTAATATGCATTAAACTTGTATTATAAATAAATGAATTAAAAGTGATTAAATGAAAAAGAAAATATTATTATTATAAATGATAAATATTTTTTATCAATAGTATATTTATGTAAATTTCCCAATATTTATTTTTTATGAGTTTGAACCATTGAACTATTCGACAAGGTATGCATTTTATTTATTATTTTTTTATATTCACCATCTCTAAATTTGCTCTTCAAACCGATCCTATCCATCGATTTGAGAAAATGCATCAATTTGCCTTTTTTTAAAAAAATTAACATTATTTCCCTAGGAGCTCCTACCTTATACCTCTCTTAACGACTCGAACTCACAATTTTCATGTTGAAAGTGGGGTATGCTTACCATCCGAGCAACTTCCTCTTGTCAGTTGATTTTTGATATTTCTTCTATTTCCAATAATTTGATGTTTATTTTTTATAGTATTAATTTTCGAGCCCTGTCATTCTATTTTACTTTTTTATATATGTATGTAATGTAATAAAATACACAAGGTAATTTAAGCAACACTTTCATGTGGATATCATGTGCTTGTACAACTATATATACAGCTGTGAGAACCTATCCTAGCCTAGATTATATACTAATTAATTCCAACTAATTAAGGTTGAATGCTTAATCTTCACCCTAATAAATGATTTAACATCCCTAGTTATGGACTTATATTAAGTCTAGGGCCTAGGTATATATGAACATGGAACATACAATCTGTTGGCTATAAAACATAATAATAATGGAGTACAAATGAGAATATATAATATGGTCCATAAAATATAAATATCCATCAAGTGAGTATTAATTAATTAGCAACATACACTGTTTTATTGCTGAATAAAAAAATTTGTCACTAATTCTATTTAATTAGTTATTATCTAGCTATTACGAGTGTTTTGATTATAGATTAGTGACAAAGTTCATAGATAATTTTAATATTTTTTTTTTAATAGAACTTTTTAGTTCTTGTATGGTTGAGGGTTATAAAAGACAACGGCTTCTTTTGACATGTGTCCTCCAAAAGTTTTCTATTTTAATAACTTTTAATAAGATTGGTATAAAATATGTTGTTTTTTATTTTTTTAAAAATGTTTTAATTAAAATGGCGTTGATGAAAAATGTCAATATTGGAAAGCTCCTTTAATTTGTGGAATGGAGGTCCTTCTTCTTGACCTAATTTAGATCTCAAATGGGGGGCTTTTACAAAAACGTGCATACGCACAAACATATATATTAATATATGTGTTCGTTGACGTGTATTAAGGGCTTCGAGTTAAGAAAAAGAAAAAAATATTGTACTATTTATACGTGTGATGAAATTTATAGATATTATAATGTATGTAATATTGCACGTATAAAATGATTGATTGTTGATCTAGAACTTCTAATAAGATAGTCGATAAGACAATAAATAACATTTTACGTGTAACAGTTTTATTCGTTAATACTAATTTTGTTAAGTTGCATGCACCATGCAAATGTATTATGATCAAATATAGCACTTGGTTGAGAGAAAAAGCACAAAGCCACTAGGGTGAAATGATATCTTTTACCAAATGTCAAAATAAAACTTTATTTAGTTAGCATTCAAACTTTAATCACTAAAAAGTGTTGGATGGATTAATTAATTTCCTCATTTCTCATATTGTGATGGCTTTGCTACCTTAAACATGAAGAAAACTCTTTTTCCTTTCTAAAGAAGTATACTCGAAATTATTATGATTTTTTTTTAAAAAAAAAAAAATTATGTGTGAAAAGTTGCTGGAAAAGTCTAAAATCACATGCCTAATACATTTCAAAGGAGGCAAAATGAAGAACATAAAAGACATAAAAAAATATGAAAAGGCATATTATATATATATATATATATATATATATATATATATATATATATGGAGAAACTCAACGAAATTGATTGTCTAAAGTCAAATTTTAATTAAAGAATTCAAGTATATTTAATAAAACTAGCTCTGTGAGCATCACGTGTATCTCTTACCTTACATATATATTGATGTTAAACATGTGCGAAGTATACGTAAAAACAAAGATAAATGATAATTCTATTTCGACAAACTTTGATACCTAAATTTGAAACTATTTGACAGTGTTTTAATTTGAAAAATAAAATATATAGTTTATTAAGCACATGCGATTTATGAATAATTTTCTAACTTAATTCAATATATTTTTAAAGAAAAAGAAATTTACACACGTTACTTTACTTTTCATAACTATTGATAGAAATAGGCCCTACAAATTTGAAGGTCTAAAAGCATTTACCATAATGACTTATGTAATGAATTAACCTTATTTTTTTAAAAAATAAAAAACTAGTAGAAAAAAAGTATCAATATATACAATGTCAATTCCCAAATGTGTTAAAAGTTTTGAAATAACAAGGGCATAAAATGACTCGAACTCTAAATGGAGGGCAATAATAGACCATTTTGCAAACTACAAGGACCTTTTTGAACTTTTCTCTTACTTCTATTATTTCTGGTCACGCAAATGATAAAGTTATATTCTCTTATTTCTATTTATATATCAGTATTTTTTATTTTACGCATATTAAGAAATTATATAATTTTATTACGCTATTTTTATTTTAAAAAAATTTGAAGTGAACTTTTCAATCAGTGTATCTGAACTACGTTAATTTGAAAAATTAATTTGATTGATAAACATAGATTATTCACTTAATTTATATATATATATATATATTCAAGCTTAATTACTCTTTTTTTTAATTAAATTTTTAGTCCAGAGACTATTTTATTGATAAGCTACAAAAGCTTATAACTCATAAGGATAAAATAGAAAAGAATATTGATTTATGAAATGATAAATGTTCTGAATCAATTATTTATAATAAAAATGGCAGATAAAGAAAAACTTGAGAATGATATTCTGTAAGTTCATTTTTCATTGAGGAGAAATTAAAAAAAAAAATTACCTCGAGATCACAATATAGTGCCATATTTATTGAAATGGATGATGATAATTATAAAGTAGTCCATAATTATAGTGCGTTATGTCTTTAAACAATGGTTGTTTAATGAAGTTTAGAAACATAATGAGCTGGATTAACGAATTTTAAATTACTATCGGTAAAATTTAAAATTTAAAACCATATATACTTTCATTGTTTCATATATTATATATTTGACTCACGTT